GTAGTACGTAGCAGGCGACAAAACTTTCGGATCTTTCCCAGCAACAGGCACCTCCGCATCATCCGGCAAAGGCAGCCACCCATGCGCAAAAATCTGCCTCGCCACCCCAGCCACACTCTCATCCGGACTCTTGGGCATCAACATCCCCAACCTCGACTTGATATTCTCCAACCAAGTCAACTCATAATTCTTAATCTCCGTCGCCGTGCAACACAGCCCCAAACTCGAGATGGTCCCGGGGTATAAACACGCAAACTCCTGCGCAATCATCCCCCCGAGCGAAATTCCCACAACATGCAAACATCTCTTCTCCTCTCCCGTCTTCAGAAACCCGACCTCTTCCGACGTGACGAGGTCATAAACATCCCTCGCCATCTCCCTGCTAGAATACCTCATCAGAGGCTTCCCACTCCCCCCCACCCCCCGGTTGTCAAACACCAGCACCGAGTACCTCTCCCGATTCAAATGCCCAAAGTGATACGTCTGCCTCTGCCAGCCAGTCAAAAGCCCGCCGAGGCCCATGATGAACTACTCACCTTCCCTGTCAAACATCAAAGCGAAACCAAAAACAAGCGAAAAGAAGGGGGGACGTACGACTAGCTTGATGGGCCCATCCCCGTGAACCTCCCAGTTGATCCCAAACGGCCCTCCCCTCCCCTCCGCCACGGGACACAACCCCTTGCGGTCCGGCTCCAGGTTCCAGATGGCTGTCGGAAAGGCCGGGTGGGCGAGCGTTTCGGCCACGGTGGGGATTCCGAGTTGGGGGTCGAGGGTCCTGTTTGGTAAGGTTAGTGAGATGCCCATGGGTGAGGAGAATGAGAGGTTTATGGGCTTGCATTGTGATCGAGAGGGGTAGTCAGATCAAATATATCCTATGCTATAAATCTGCTAGCTTAAACACGGTGTTGACAGGATGATAGATTTCTGTCAAGTTTTTATCCGGTCGGCAGTCTGGTCGTCTCAACTTTTGTTGTTATCGCCGCCGGAGCGAAGCGTTCCTGAGCCTGAGCCTCGGCGCGAGCGCCACGGCGGCCCCCTGACCCAAATGACGTAATCAGCATGTGAATCCACCAAAATATCCCTGAACTGTCCGCGGTGGAGGGTTAGGGTGTTGACAGCAAACATTGATATGGTGGTCTATCATTTATACAAATCATAGAGAATTCTTAGGAGCCGATCCAGATCAATGCTATCACTGATAGCGGTAGTTCACATGGCTCAAAAACAACCGGACGGTCTACTTTTGTATCCAGCATGAAAACATGCTCCCTGAACGCCTTTTGCTTTCACGCTACCACCACCAAACACGCATCCCAACAACTCGAAGCTATTACATGGCCCTGACTCAAAGCATTACAAAGCCCACACCGCTGGACGTGTTCTCCTCCAGCAAATTCCTCTTGTTGACACCACCGTGGACAGGGTTGGCCTTGTAGTTGAACAGATAGTAGTGAAGCTGCCCATCACCGGGGTGGAACTTTTGCTGCTCCAAGAACAGCGAGTTATCCATCAGCGACAGCGCATTGAACACGTCAAACTTGGCCTTCTTGGCAAGAATGAGCATATCAGCCATGAGGGCATTAAGACGAGCCTTGAGGGCCGGGCGGTCGTCAGGGCTCTTGAGAGCAACATCCGAGGCGTAGTAGAAGAGGTAGGCGGCGCGAATGGCAGAGTGCTTCTTGGACCGGATGACCGACGATTCGAGGCAGTAGAAGGAGAAGAAGTCGGTGATTTTGCCGTCGTCGCCCTGGAGACATGTTAGCGCAGAACAGACATAAACGGGGCGAGATGCTAACCTCAACAACATATGACCAAATCACACGCTCACCAGGCGCCTCTTTGTTATGCAACAGCCAATGCGACACCTCTTCCTTGGACCACACTGGAGTCAGATCAAAGCGCTTCAGGTACGCCTCGACGAGAACCTGCACCGCGTTGAGATCCCTGGCTTCCATCTCACGGAGCCCACGAGTCGACGTGTTCTCGGGGACCCTGAACCTAATATCTTGCAACTTGGGGGTGCTGTTGGTTGGGCATGGGCTGAAGCCAACCTCATACAGCTTCATCCAGTTCAAGGCGCGGTGGTAGTATCGGCAGGTACTAACTGGCCGAGGGAGGACAATACCGCCCGTGTAAATGGCCTGCCAGATGCCATCAAGGTTGATGCGCCGTGTAATCTCCTTGATGAGCACTGGCGCAAGGCGCTTCCCTCTGAGCTTCTTGTGAATGCAGAGGAAGTTGACCTCGGAGCTTTGAAGAATCTTGTCCCGTACCCGCATCTGGGTTGGGATGGCAGAAATGAAAGCGCAAAGGGTATCGCCAGTGCGAATCCCAACGTGCCATTCCTTGCGCCATCCCGGAGACAGCAAAGACCACCTCAGCAGAGAGCCAGAGTACTTGAACCTAAACATGGCCTCGTCATCCTCCACGTAGTGACCATACAGAAGCTTCTCTACCTCTTCCAACTGCCTCTCGTCCGTGAGATCCATCGTGACCCAGCGGAACTGTGGAAGCGCAAGTTCAATGGGTTCGGTTGGAATGTCCTCCACTTTTTGGACTCTGACGGGACCCTCCTCGATGAGCTTGGGCTCCTCATCGAACTGAGGTACTGGTTGTGTGCTCCAGAACTTGTACGAAGCCATATCCTTGCGGTTCTTGCCACTCGTTGCCAAACCGGTCATGATATCCTGTAACTTGAGCTTCTTGAAGGCTTCGATGGCTTTGGCCGTGTTGTCCGACGAGCCCGGGGCATCCTGTGCGCCGAGAAGTTCATTCCGCAAGGCAGGGTTGAGGGTGAGGAATTCAGCGATCTGGTCGTTTGAGAGGCCCGCGATGGCCTTCTTGGGGTCGGCCTCGACATCGGCGGCGGTCAGCTCTTTGGGAGGGCCTCCGCCAAGGGCTTGAGCAAGAGCTTGTTTGGCCTTCTTCTTCTTGCTCTTCTTCTTCTTCTTTGCGGGAGCTTCTGTGTTTGCGCCTGCTTGTTGTGTTTCCTCCGCTTCGGACCCCGACTCCCCTTCCGACTCAGCTGTGGTGCCCTTGGCAGAGCTTAGGTTGACGAGAGCTTCAGCAGCCTTCTCCTGCTCCTTGGTCGGGTCAACCTCTTTCGATTCGGTCGACATGTTTGGGCAATATCTGGGACGTGGTAACCAATGTGCGAAGATTCGAGATGCGTGAAAGATTCAAGTCTCTCCTTTTTGAAACTTCGGCAGCAGAGTTGTGGTGTCGTGTCGGCAACAAAGCTTGGTGTTTCAAGCAGGTGTGCGGGGCAGCTTCCAGGTTACTTCGACGCGGGCACCCCCCCCCTCCAAGCTTTGGGAGTTTGTGATGGTGGGTCTCAACCCCCAGCTCTTTATCGATAAGTCTTATGCAGTTTGCTCGCTTCACTGTTGTCAACCGTATTGCGTCGACCGACACTCATCATCAGTAGGGATCCCGAGATATACAGGCCTCATTTCGCTTTCTTAAAGCATACCAAATGTCAAGATACAAAATCATCCAGCCTTGTTGAAGTCACACAAAAAGTATGGATCGAGTGCTCACCTCAGATTGCGGGGCGATGAGCTTCTGATTGGTTACGCAGCAAATGTTCAATGCAAACGACAGCGCTCCGCCGCCACTGTTGCCTGTCGCCGCCCAAGTGTGCAGTGCTCAGTTCCCGACCCCTGCCGTCCTCTCGGTGTTTGTGGTTCAAGGGGCGTTCAGCCGCTTCTCTTTATTCGCAATCTATTCAGCTTTCTTTTTCATGCTCGTCCAACATCATCTCAATCAAGCACCTACATCTCAGGCCAGACGGTAGCAATCGCAAGCATGGGCAAACCAACCCCTCCGGCCTATACACCCGGCGCCGGTAGCAGTGCCGACGCCGACCCTGACGCCTTGTCACTCCACACTCCCACCGGTGGTGTTAGCGACCCAGCCTTTCCTCTTGATCTCGACGCTCCCGACCTGGGAACTGATGATCTCCCACCTCTCTACTCTGATATCGACAATGACGCTGGCAGCGGTGCCCCTCTTTTACCACCTGGAACTCAATTCGGCCAGTCCGCCGACCTGGCACCCAAACAGGTTGACCAGAACACTGGAGTCGAGGTCTTTGTCACCTCGGTGTTCGAAGCCGACCCTAAGCTTCTAGAGAAACAGATCAACATCTCTGCTGCAAAGCCACCCAGGCCATTCGTGAGAATCCATGGTACTCACCGGCAGATGGTGGAGGAGAACGGCAAAAAGACTGAGAAAGCCGTGACCGACTTTGAAGTCTCTGTCGAACTCACGCCCTATCTCTTCTCTGATGTCGCCACTCAGCTCTCATGGCGTGAGACACGCACCGTTGAGAATAACGAAAAGACCTGTCGAGGCACTGTCTTCAGAAAAAGAGCTCCTGGATACAAACAAGACATCGAGGTTGGCACAGGCCCCAAACCTACCCTGGCTGAGTGGTGCCACCGTTACTGCGCCAGCCATGCCACCGTCAAATGCTTTGTCCTCCGCCGTCGTGTCGTTGGCTTTGACGAGGAGAAACTTCGAAGTCAGCTCGACGCTCTCGTCCGCAGCACCAACTACCGCGGCAGCGTCTGCATCACCTTCCCGGTCAAGGACGAATATGTATTCATCTACAACGACTGCTGGATCAACAGGTGGCGCTACACGAACTGGATCCGCTGGATCTTCTATCTCACCTTCCTGTGGATCTTCTCCTGGCCATTCTTATACTTCTTCACCAAGACCTTCGAGGTTGTGACGGCCGATTGGGACTTTGCCAGGCCGCAGGAAAATGGCAGACTGGCCTATGTCAGCATGTCGGAGGATCATATCTACAACACCTGGGCGAGGGCCATCAGCCGTGCTGTTTTGGGGAAGAGGCAGACGTGTCTGGACCACAATGATCTTGTTGCGTCTCACACTGATGGGCCGGATGTTGTGGCTGACGTTATGGACGCGGTCCATGCTCCGAGCTTTGTGAGACGAGGTGTCACGGCCATTGCGCATGTCAACCGTCAGCTTGGATGGGGTTCGGACTGGTCGTGATGCGGTTCTTTTGTCTTTACCCGTTGTTTCCTTTTAGCGATTAGGTTCATTCATACCCCCTAGTTTATCTCGTTCCCCCATAAAATTGAAAACAGTTTCTGGACACCACCAAGACACATTGCCATGGACGAGGACCACCCCCTAATTCCCGAGACCGAGCACCGTATGTGGTGTGACACGTTCAGCCAACATCTCTCTGCCGAATATGACCGTCCCTTTCAAGACATTCGTAATTCCTCTTATCTGCTGCATCTTAGCGCGGTGAAAGCGCAGATGCGGAAAAGTTGACCGCATTGAGCAGCACATTTGGCTGGTCTGGTGGTTAGTCGGGGACCCACCCGTCCGCATCGGCCGCACCGCCCGCAAATGCCCCACCCGCTGCCGTCCGCATGGACCCACCCACACCTCCGCAGCCTCCGCTCCGGGGTGTGTATCCGCTCCGGCCGGACGACATTCCGCTGCATTGTGTCTGACGAACCTGTGAGATGGGGGTTGTACTCGGAGATACTGAGACATTCGTGAGCCCGGGAGTCCCCTGAGTATTGAGTGATTGTACGATGGAGCGTTCATGTATAAAGATGCTGTTGTCTCCTTCATCTCATCTTGTAAATCATCATCATCACGAGTACAAGTTCCAATAACAACTACCACATAACCACTCCAACGCAACCCTATCGACACCAACACAAAATGTCCTCCCCCAAGACCTACCTCATAACCGGCACCACCTCCGGCATCGGCCTCGCCTTAGTCCAACACCTCCTCTCCCAATCTCAAAACGTCATCGCCACGGGGAGAAACATCGTCTCCCGTTTCCCCTCCGACCTCGTCACCTCCCACCCCGACAACCTCAAGTTGTTAGAACTAGACATCGCCTCCCCCCTCCCCCACCTCCAATCCATCGCCGCCCAAGCCTGGGACCTCTTCCCAGGCGGCATCGACGTCCTATTCAACAACGCAGGCATGTCAGCCATGAAACCCTTCGAAGAAGCCTCGTACGTCCCCCCTTATCCCCTTTCCCGTTTCCCAACCCCCCGCTAACCCCAGACATCAGCGAAGAATACATCTCCCAAATCTACACCGTCAACCTCTTCGGCCCCATGCGCCTCACCCAAGCATTTTTACCTCTCTTCCGGAACAACCGTAAGGGCGTAACAATAGCCTTCACCTCCTCCTCATCAACCTACACCCCCCTCCCCTTCATGTCCCACTACTCCGCCTCCAAATCCGCCCTCTCCACCACAATCACCTCCCTCGCGAAGGAACTCCTCCCCTTCCACATCTCCGTCCTGGCCTTCGAATGCGGTGGCACAGTCACCAACCTTGGCCAACCGCGCCAATCATCCCCCTCCCCCTCCCCCTCCTCCCTCTTATCACCACCACCACCACCACCAGAAACACCCTACGCCCAAGGAATAACCTCCCTGATAACCATGTTCACCCGTGATCCGCCAGCTTACATGCCCGGGTCCCCCTCCAAAATGGCAAAAACCATGGTCTCAGTCATCAACAAGATCCAAAAGGGCGAAAAAGTACCCGTCAGGTTGGTCTTAGGGAGCGATGCCTGGGAGAGCGTGAACCAAAACCTGGACGAGACGCAGCAAGTCCTGCAGGAGTGGAAACACGTCAGCTGGGAGACCGATCGGGACGGGGTCAAGGGGGGCGCGGAGGGGGATTACCTTCGTGCTGTTAGTATCTTGTGAGAGCGATGATGGTTTCGTCGTAAGGGATAGAGGTGTTTGGTTCTAAGTCGTCGATGAGCAGAATATACAACAAGTCGATCATGTAACACACAACAATAACACAACCCTTTCACCCATCTCCATAGAATCTTTGATGTTAAATAGGGGCAAATACACACAGCAGTAGTTTATTCGTAACCAAAGAAAAAGTTCAGCCCCACGTCAAAGTCCCAAAACTCCAGCCCATGAATACCTCAAGTCTCTTATCGCGCAACACACAAAGAGAGAGAGATCTTGAAACCTAGTAGCAGCCCAGCACCCAACCCCATCACCAAAATGAGGATACTGAGAATAAAAAATAGTAATAAAAACAAAGGCAAGAATTTCCACGCGCTGGCAACACATATTTTTCCGTTTTGCCCAGGTATCCCCACCATCCGCAACGCGCTGTTGTCCCGAAAAAAAGAAAAAGAAAGAAAGAATGCAAGAGCATAATTCCACAAGGATGAAGGGTTGATACAAATATTTTCCACCTAGCACCAACCAACCACCAGCCTACTCCCTGCTCGCCTTGCCAGCCACCGTCGCAATAAAGCTTTGGTACTGCGCATCTTCGTCGGCTGCCTCCACACCATTATACACCAACCCCCTCGACCGTGAGGCCAGCTCCTGCATTTCCACCTTGGGGTGCTTGCCGCTACCCCTAGACCGTGAGCTCAGCTCAGTCATCTCGATCTTGGGCGGGTTGGTGGCCCACAAAACCTGCGGGGCAGACGGGGTTTGGTGTGCCGGCTTCTTTTCCCTTTCTTCCATCTCGGCCTCCTTGTCCTTGGCGGCCCCGTTGGTTATTCCGCCCATCTCGGTATCTTCTGTCTCTGTGCCGTCGCGCCTCGGCAGCCGCATGGCCAGCAGAACATACTCTGACCTCGTCATCGTCTCCATTATCCCCTCCATATAGCGCCGAACCTCTTCCTGAGGAGCCACAACTCGAAAGAGATTCTCGAGGTGGCGACCGCTGGGGGCAAAGAGCCTCACGGTGAGGGGCTCGTAATAATCTTGGTCGGGGTCCGCCTGCGGATACTCTGACTTGCTGCCCCGGCGGACTACCAGGAAAGACGCCACGACTTGCTGTCCCGCTCCGGGAGACATTGACATCTGTTCCAGAATGCTGAATTTCGGAAACATGTATCGATCACCATTGCCACCAGCAAACTCAAAAAGGACAGCCGAATAATCTGGCTTGGGAGGCGGTGGTGGTCCTTTGGATCGAAGGGCTTGCTGTGGCTGAGGCGCCGTTTGTGGGACTGGTGTAGAGGAGGCCGAATTGTTGCCACTGCCATTCACTCCGTTGGTGTGCTTGGCTACTGTAGGTGTCGTTGCCGACGCTGGCGTCTTCGGGGGGTGGGCTTCCTTCTCCTTCAACGCGGTCCGCAGCTGATCGATTATCAGCTTCAGGTCAGTAGCGTCTGAGAACTGGGTCTTGTTCTCCGATACACGTCGGACCATTTCCCTCGTCTTAATGTCATCCAGGGCCTTTTTGACCAAGGCCACAATGAGCGGATCGCACCCATTCGGCGCTCTCAAATCCGCAGATGTTTGCTTGGCATTAGAGGTCAAGACAATGTCCAGGATGGCCTTGACTTCATCCGCAAAGTACTTCACTGTACGGCCGTCTACCAGTAGCCTTTCAGCTGAAGGCCCAGCGGTGCTACCGCTGCGCTTATTCTCCGCTGTGATGGCATCAATGATGGCCTGGAATCGGGCAAGCTCTTGTTTGGCAGCTTCGCCATTGGCGACACGCTTCATTAGATCTCGCAGCTCGGCATCAGTCCCTGCTCTAGAGGCCAGCATCAAGATGATCGGATCTGTTCCCGGCGCCGGTTTTCCTTGCGCAGGTGTCCCTGGGGCCGCCGGAGCACCATTCATCGGAGGTTTAGCCAGCGCGGGGCTTTGCCCTGCAGGGAAAGCCGCAGCGCCTGCGCCCGCCACCATGGTGGGATTGGGCGAAGGTGGAAGTCGTGGCGGCTGGGTGCCAAACGGGGGCGTGATATGTGGCCTCGCTGGTGGTTGCGGGGTGACTGTTCCTGGAGACAGGACTGATTCCATGCCTCGTGGAGAGGCAACTGGTCTAGGCAGAGCTGCAGGTATGGTGGGCGTCATGCGCGATACTTCTGGAGCCGGCGGTTGGTTGGAAGTTGGCGGCTGACCCGGTCCTTGCGAATTTACCCCAGCTGGCTGCGCCGCCGGAAGAGTGGGAGTCTGGGTCGGTGTCTGGGTTTGCGGTCGCGCCTGACTTGGTGCTTTCGTCTGTGTCTGAGCTTGACTTGGAGGTTGAGTCGCTGGCGCGGGAGCAGGAGACGGCCGCTCGGCAGATTGTGTCACTTTTGGGGTAGCCGGTGGGGGCATGACCCCATTCGGGGGACCATATTGCAGAACTGGTCGCTGGGTGATCGGTGGAGGCGGAGGCGGTTTTGGGTCCTTGACAGCATACATGGTTGCCTCGAAACTGTGCGGCTCCACGATAATGGTCACATTTCCCAGCTTCACCATGCTGTCCTTTGGCGGGTTGTTCGGTTCCTCAATGATTTGTCCCTTCTTCTTGACCGGTTTGGACCAATACTTTGGGAATATGGCTTCCGACATCCATTGCTGCCGTGATCGTGCGAGAGACTCAGAAAGGACACCACTGGAAAGAATATGTCAGCATTTCGCCCTGCCACAGCATGACAAGCCAAGGGAGCGCACCTTTCTGTCACCGACTGATAATCCTTATTTGAGAGATCGTTTGGTTGTGGCGAGTCGACGGTTGGCAGGGGCTTGCTAGCACTGATCGATTTCGGTAACGGCGTTGGAACCTCTTCAACCGGGGCAGGTTCTGGTTCTGGAGCCGGGGCAGGTGTCGGCGTCGCAGATTTGGAGACGGACTTTGGTGTCGAATCGGTATGCCTCCGTTTGGCAGCCTGCTCAACCCGGGCGGCAGCGCGTGCTGGAAGCTTCCTCTTCTTCTCCATCTCGCAAACTATTCAAGCCCGACGTGTAGAGTTGGTAAGTAGCTCGTCATAAGCACATCGGGATCGATCGAGATGTCGAGCTGGAGCGTCGATGGCGAGCAAGACAAGCAATTCGATGTTGATGGCGGGAGGGAGATTTATCTAGACGGATGAGGTTAATTAAAAAAAAAAAAAAGAACCCCCAACGAAGCAAAGAAGAGCGCGCGAGTGCGCGTGGGCAATTGAAGGGTAATCAGTCCCAAGACGTGCTGCTGATGGCAGAATGCAGCTGGAAAAGAAGGGACCGAGACCGTGACGAAGGCACCAGCAGTTCCAAGCCCCAAAAGAAAATGGGTCCAACTGGGATTTGGGAAGCAGCACCTTAGCAAGCATCGGCAAAAGCTGGGGGATGGATGCTGCTCGATTTATCAAGCACGCATTTCCTGTGCGCTAAACTATATCTGGACCCATCTCCTGCCGTCTGATTGGCCCTAGCTAAATCACAGGCCATGAATGCGCCGCTGTAATTAATTGGGGATGCAGGATTGCTCCACAAGCACCTCGCCTCACAAATGGTTCTCTTCTTCTTACTCCTGCTGTATCTTGAGGTTTGGTAAAGTGCAGCAGAGTAATCCATCTCTTACATATCCCAACATGTGTCCCCTCACAATGCGCTCCGTGTTTTCCAGAGCAAAGTCCTGCTGATGATGAGTTGTTGGACAGTGCGGCTGACCGGGATATCTGGTGGGGATCAACTAAGCCGCATGATCACAGTTACCGCTACTAACAGAGTGTCACGCATTTCATGCAGTGTTCTAATAGCACCACTATCAGCTCACAAGGTCAACTGCATGTCCCTGTCCAAGCTCAGCAGCCACACATCTTGACGACGTAACACGGGCCGTTTCCAAGCTTCAAGCCACCATCTTATAAGTCAGCAAAGGCGTTTTTCAGGGGCGTTGGCATGCTCATACTTGTTTCGTTTTGATTCATTGCAAAAACATCCTCCTATATAGACGGACATCTTCTCATGTCCCTGAAACGACTCACTCAGGCTGCTTTATCCCGGAGCTCTGCATCAAGGATGCTGGACCCGGCTGCTATCTCCGGCCTCTTCGTGGGGCTTGTTCTCGGTGTTCCTGTTGCCGTATATGCTCTGTTTCTTGGGTTGAGCTCGATACCATTCTTTCAGCGCCAGTATGACTTGGCATCTTTCATCTCTTACAGCTTACTGTTCTTTAAAAAGCTGACTGCAATGCACGTCCCAGGTTCTTATATGCCCACAATATCCACAGCCTGTGGTGGCCAGGCGCTCGAAAGAGAACCAACCAGCCCCAACGATACGGCTTCGCAAGTCAGTCTCCTGCCCACTTTCTCATGAACCTCATCACACTGACCATCCCCCAGAAAACCAAGCAACCCCCTTCCTCCTCGGCACCCCTGACAACGAGTCCCTCTACGCCTGGCACGTCCTCCCCCTAACCCTCTACAGCAAACATTCCCCCACCCTTATCTCGCGCCCCGACGAGGGCACATGCCACAAAGACTTCACCGAAACCCTGCAGTACGACCTCCTCCTCAACGACCCCGACGTCAAAGTGGTCGTATCCTTCCACGGCAACGCCGGCCACCTCCTCCAATCCCACCGCCCCCGAGTCTACCACACCCTTTCTCTCAATCACCACCTCTTCACCCTCTCCTACCGTGGCTTCGGCCTCTCCACCGGCTCCCCCACCGAAGACGGCCTCAAAACCGACGCCATCTCCCTTCTCAACTTCCTCCTCAACGAATGCCGCGTCCCACCTCAGCGCATCGCTTTACTCGGGCAATCCCTCGGCACGGCTGTCGTCGCCGCAGTGACGCATCATTTTGCTGTTAACCACCAAATCGACTTTGCTGGCTCGGTTATTGTCGCTGGATTTAGCTCGTTGCCCTCTATGCTGAGCGGGTATCGCATCGCGGGCTTCATCCCCGTGTTGAGGCCGCTGTCTTGGTGGCCTTGGTTGTTGAGGGTGGTGATGGGTAGGGTGGTGGATAAGTGGGATAGTGCCGCTCGCTGGCAGGAAACCACGCGTGAGGTGAAGGGAAGGGGGGGTAGGTTGAGGTTGGAGATGGTGCATGCGAAGAATGATTGGGATATTCCTGCGGATGAGGATGACAAGGTGTTTAGGGCTGCGGTGGGGGGGCTGGTGGGGGATAAGTTGACGGAGGGTGATATTGACAGGTTGAAGGGGGAGAGGGTGGTGGGGGATGAGAATCAGGGGTTTGTGGCCGAGTGGATGGAGCAGGGGGTGGTGGTAAGGCAGGAGTTGGTTCCTTTTGGAGGTGAGTAATGTCAACATGAAGGTGATGAAAGGTTGCTGACAGACTGCAGGACACAACGATGTCACGTTTTATGCGCCAACGCTGTTGGCTATCATGAGGTCATTTGAAGGGGTGGAAGAGTGAGATGCGAGGCTGTGGAGAGTGGTAGTGAGTGAGTTTAATGTTTATACTCTGCATAGAGACTTACGAAGTAACTTTTATTGCTCATCATTCCATAAGGTGCATTCCCATCTTGTGGTTTATTTTTACGATGTGATTACCCATCCCATCACTTGTCATGGTGCTACATTTGACCAATACTCAAGCCAATAAATGGAACAGCTCAGACTACTACATACTAAGCTTAGACAAGGTGTCTGGTTAGAGCACAACTCGGTCTGTTGAAGAAAGGGCTGGGATTGACAGAATGTAAGCTCGACTTAGGTACCCAGGTAGACTGGTAAATGCAGAGGCTTAAGCTGGGAGAGCAGTTAGCTGAGGCTAGGGGAGGTAAACAGTTGGAAGCTTGGAAGGTTTGAATTATGAAAGAAAATTCATATCTATTATGAAAGCATGCACTGTGAGCTTGAGAGGTAAGCTCGGGGGAGGATCACGACATATTGGTTCGTCACTCCATAAGATTACACGTCACAACTCCATATATCGGGCCTCAAACCAGTGTTGAATCTAACAATGACTCAGCCCCCTGGACGATACCCCTGATTCAACGATTGACTATCTAAGCCTTACCAATTAGCTACCTATGTAATCTCCAAACAAGTGTGGAGAAACGCAAGTCTTGATGCAGTAGATGGACAGGGAAGATTGAACACCTAGTTCGACTCAGGCAAGGTGGGAAGGTGACATAGATGGGTATGGTATCCTCGTTTGGATTGTTTGCTTTTGTCAGAGGATACCATCATTTTCAATCACAGGCTTCAAATCAGCTGTCTGGGTTCCAAGCTCAACAACAACCGCCTAAATGAACCCCCTGAATGAAGCCCAGATTGAGCCCCTGATTGATTGATCCGGACCATTCTGTAAAGGCCTCTCCATCTTAGACCGCAGGTTCCATACCATGGTCATCTAACTATCCGGCAAATGTTATGGGTGTTTGATAGAAGCCACCAGCATCAGTCTTTCCCTGACCCGAACTCCCCACCTTGCCATCGTCTCCAACCTTCTCACATCCCTTGTATTTTCCTTTCTTGTCATTTACCGAACTTTTGGGATTTCGAAAGAAGTCTGTACGCGTGGCTGACCCGGCACCGGAATCGTCACACAGGAGAGGTGCGTAACCGCGAAAGTTTCGGTCCTGAGCTTGGTCTCAGAGCATATCCTTCCAGGGCTATGCCCTTGAGTCGGCTGCTTCTTTGGTGTCTTGTTCTTGAACCCAATTTGATTGTCCACTTGACGAAGTGCATGGCTTCCGTCGGGTCTTCGGCGAAGCTTCTGGGGGTTGGATAGGGGCTGACGTTTGAGTGGACATAATAGTCAGGTGGTTTCTGGTAATAGAAGTACTGAATCCGCTGGATACAGTTTGAGGTAAGCTGAGAGTGATGGGGAAAAGCTTGGAAGATGTATGAAAGGAGCAAATGAATAATTATACATACATACCGTAATTCACCTAGCTATTTTACCTCACCATTGCTACCTAGGTGAGTCATCCGGGGATGCTCCGAAACTCTTAGATGATTGATCTACACAACCACATGCACATTATTGACCCCAGCCAGGATTGCTATAGCATTGCATCCTTCTAAAGTTGACCGTCAAGTGTTTCTGGTTGATTTCCATCTCTATACGTGACCTCAAGATGCTTCACTGCGGTTACATTAGCTGACTGTTGTCTGACAACACATCCTTAGTGATATTGAGCCGTCCAACCCATATGCAGCGCAAACTATGCGAGGTAATAATGTTATCAGCCGTAAATCTAAACATCTGACGTGTTGAGCGCAGACTTTGCTTATTTGCCCTCGGTCATTGAGCATGAAAGCTTTCCTTGTCATCGTTGTGTCACAGACTTGTCGGATGTACCTCTAGTCACCGATCACAGGGCTGTTGGTGACGAGGTAAGACATTAGAGATGTACCCCTCTTGATTTCCCCAGGGTCAGATCCACTATTCTTTTGAGATGGCCTTACTTCTTTTGATGCTTGGTCTTGGTTGTGTGTGGACTTCCAAATCGAACGACCTTTCAGTGTATTGGCTGCGTTTGACCTTCAAATGAACGGGGCAATCCTGCTATGGGGACGACCAATATGAAGTGGGGGAGGGGCCAAAGCTTCGAAAAGGTCATTGACCTTCGAAAGCTGCCGCAACAGCCCAGCCAAAGGTCCCAAGACGTTAATCACTGGCTTGACCATGATGGCTTTTCCTTCTTCTACTCTCCCACAACACTGGTAGCATCTGACTGGAAGAATCGACATGTGGTGGATGAAGTGTATCTTCCCAGCATGGCAGGCCTTTTGAAGACACTGGTAGCTGGGGCCGACCGGAACAATTGTTCGCTCTTGATTTGAGAACCATCGCTAGAAGTAACTTACTTCTATGGAGTTGTGATGTCATTAGCTGCGGAGCTATGGGCTGGGTCAGGCGCTTGGTCAGGCGCTTGATCAGGCGCTTGGCCAGGGGCCCGGCCAGGGTCTTGACCTGGGTATGCAAGGTATTGGTGTATGACTTGTACCCATCTGGAGAACTGATTTTGGATGTCGTGCTCCAGTGACAGCCAGAACACATGCGAGTATTTATGCCTGGCTCGATAGGCGTACTCGAGCGCCAGTTGGCTTTTTCCCACACCAGCGCGCCCATGTATTACACAGATCCGGGTCGTCGTTGTAGCCTCGTACTCGTCGTGATCAAAGATGCCATATATCTGTTCTAACTGAGCTGAGCGCCCGATGAAATTGTCGTTGCGGGCGGGTACAGTCCATTGGGGCGGGGTATGGGAGTCGCCAAAAGACCGAGGAGGGTCATCGCCACATGCCGCAAAACCGCACTCAAGGCCTGGGAGGGGCTACAGCTTTTGCCTTCAAAACGGAAGACCGTGAATGTATTGGGTTGGCTCCGCAAACTGAATCA